AGGTGAGGTCGCTGCCGGTGTCGAAGACGAGGGAGAGTTGCTTGGCGGGTGTACCAAGGCCGACGGTGACAATGTAATTCGGTGAGCCGATAACGATACCGGACTTGGCGGGGAGGGTGGTAGCAGCGGATTGGGTGAGTGGGTCTTTCCTTCTGTTGTTGTTGTTGTTGTGGTTGAGGCGGGAGTGGATTGAGTTGACTCGGGCTTGGTCTTGCTTGAGGATTTGAGCATGGTATTTTTCATCACTAGTTGTTGTTGAAGTTTTTGATGATTTGTGGAATTTGGAGCATGGCCCATGTTTGTGTACCACTTTCAATACCGAAGGTGCCTTATGACCTGAGATCATTGAAACATGTATGCATAGAGAGAGAGAGAGAGAGAAAGAGAGAGAGTGTGTGTGTTAGAGATACATAAATGCACATAAAATGGGGTTTGAAATTAAGTTATACATATATATATATATATATATAGGATGAATTAACCTTTGGTGGAGGGGCTGCAGGTGGTTGCTGGTAGAAGAGAGTTTACTTCAACCGTGTGAGTGGTATGTGGCAGAAGGTGGGGTTTTGTATCTCTTGCTGCCAAAGCAAATCCGTTTTCGAAAGAGCAGAGAATTAGGCATAGAAATACAGAGAAGAAACCCATGAAAAACCTAAGGAAGGAGGAGCTAGAAATAATGGGAGTTGCCATGAATAATTAACAAGATTGCCTCTGGATTATTGAGTTGCTGCTGTAATGTAAGCATACTCTTGGCCTTATATTGGCTAATTGGAGACGGGGATGTCAACGGGGGTTATCGGAGTTAGGGTTCGTTTGGTATGACAGACTGTTATGGACTGGATTAAATCCCAAGACTGTCTTGGATTAGTTCAGATTGACCTAAAATTGATTAAATACTGAATTACGTTTGGTGCTACGTTGGACTAAGGAGCTAGATTGTTGTTGTGACCTGGTCATTGAAATGTATGAGTGTATGTATACATGTGACTCTTTATATGCATATATTCACAATTATATCCATCTGTGGATGCCTGCCACTAGTTTACGGGTAACAACACCATGCATGTCATGTGGGTGAGAGAGACACAAAGGTGACGGGGCTCTGTTTATTTATTTATTTATTTAAATTTTAATAGAGTAAATTTGGTTTAAGTTTTTTTATTATAGAAAAGTTGATAGAGGTCCAAAAATCCAACTAATAGTTGGGTCTAGTCCTCGAATTATTGTTTGTTAATACAAGTCCTTTAACTAGTTTGCCATGTAGATTACATTCCATTTTTGACATGCTGACTCAATCTTTTATATTTAACTTTTTTGTATTTAAATTTTTTGTTCCTATTATATCCCTATTGTCTAAAATGGGTAAGATGAGGATTTATAGGCCATTAATGATTAAATTTGATCATGTAATTAAAGGAATAATTACATTTTAAATGTAAATGTCGGACCTTCACTTTTTTCTTGGGCTTGATTTGTGCAAATTCCTATGCTCCAGGTACAATACCCTACTAACCATTGAACTTGATATACCTATCTAATAGGTATAGTACATATTTGATGCACCTCAATACTAGGTAAAACACATATTGGATGCACCTCAATGCCAGGTAAAACACATATGTTTAAAATAAAATAAAAAAAATTATACCTCCATACTAGGTATATTAAAAAATTAACACAAAAAAATTCCATCAAAGAATTTTGAAAAACTCAATATATAAATTTATGGCTAAAAGGTAGGTATATGCTACCAATTTAATAAAGCTACGAATATAGAATTCTAAAAAATATAGTTTCCATATATATATATATAGCTGAAATTTGAATTAAATAGGTTTTTAATCGGTGAGTCATGAAATCATCATTTAAATTGAATGTCATAAGCTTGATTGTAGGAGAAATACTTATACTTAAAAGTGGTATTTGCATGTACTTGCCATTTTCAACCAATGTCATTATTATAATACAAATTTATAAATAAACACAATCCTAGACATGTATTTATAAAAAAACTCAAGCACTCTTTAAACATAGAAACACACCCAAAATCAATCCCAAAATCAACAATTGTATATTTTTTGGGTGTGTTTATAAATGGGTTTTGAGTGTGTGTAATGATGGGTTTTGGGTGTGTTTATAAAGTATTTTGGGTGTTGGGTTTTTTTTATAATTTCAGCCCCCATTTTGGGTGCTTTAGTGAAACTCCCTTATTATAAATGTCTTGAATATGGTGGCTACAAGGTTTGCTTACCTGGCCATACAATTGATTGGGAGGACTACAAGGTATGCTAAACTTTTTTTTTATAAAAAGTGTATGTTTTTCTATGCATATGAATATTAGAGGGAATTTCACAGTATACGCCCATGCGCCATTGGAATTAACAGCGTATATAGTAAGGCCTAACGAAATACTGGATGCCAGACAATATATGAATATATATATATATATATAGAGAGAGAGAGAGAGAGAGAGAGAGAGAGAGAGATGCATGCACGTAATTAAAATGGGGTTTGAAATGAATTAACCTTTGGTGGAGGGGGTGCAGGTGGTCTCTGGTAGAAGAGAGTTTACTTGTACTGTGTGAGTAGTGTGTCGCAGAAGGTGGGGTTCTGGACTTGTTGATGCCAGAGCAATGTCCTTTTCGAAAGAGCAGAGAATCAGGAACAGAAATATAGAGAAGAAACCCATGAAAAAACCTGAGGAAAGAGGAGGAGTTAGAAATGAATATAGTTAACAAACCTAGCTAGCTATCAGTGGCGGACTTATTAAGGCGCAATGAGGTGTGCAATTGCACCTCTTCTCGCCGGAAAAACAAGTGTAGGTGCTTCAAATTACCCATTTGCTCAACTGGTGTACAAATTACCTTATTTCCACTTATTTTTATATAACTCTATTTACTTAAATTTACAATGTAAATAAGGAAGTACCCCATTTGGATTCAAATAAAAATATTAGAAAATCAAATTCCCACCAAATCAAAATTTGAAAAATCGATTTTAGTGCAAAATACGATTTAGGCTAAAAATGAGTGCTCATTAAGTCAATATATACTTCATACTAAAATCTCATAAAATCAAGTTTTCTTATTTGATGTGTAAGGAATAAAAGTCGCCAAAAATTATTTTGAGAAAATGATTATTCTGAAAAACCATTTTTCATACTTATTCAATATTGCACCTTTGCCAAAAAATTTCTAGGTCCACCTGTGCTAGCTATTGCCTGTAGATTAAGTTCGAGCATACTATTGGCCTTATATAAACAATTTGGAGGGTTAAATTTTCTAGCATTTGCTCCATACCATCAGTGGCGGATCCAGAAATTTTTTAGCAGAGGTGCAATATTGACTAAGTATGAAAATGGTTTTTCGGAATAATCATTTTCTCAAGATAATTTTTGGCGGCTTTTATTCCTTATACATCAAATAAGAAAACTTGATTTTATGGGATTTTAGTATGAAGTATATATTGACTTAATGAGCCATCATTTTTAGCATAAATCGTATTTTGCACTAAAACCGAATTTTCATATTTTGATTTGGTGAGAATTTGATTTTCTAGTATTTTTATTTGAATCCAAATGGGGGGTACTTCCTTATTTACATTGTAAACTTAAGTAAATGGAGTAATATAAAAATAAATAAAAGTAAAAAGACAAAGACATTTACTTAAATGTTGAAAATGGAAATAAGGTAATCTGTACACCAGTTGAGCAAAGGGGCAATTTGAAGCATCTACAATGATTTTTCTAGCAAAGGGAGGTGCAGCTGCACCTCCTTGCGCCTTAATAGATCCGCCCTTGCATACCATCGTTCTCAACACGTTCACACCCACGCCCTAACCCATTAATTTTTTTTTGGTCGATCGACTTTGTCCACCCGTTCTCTTACGTTAATTTTCTTTCACTCGTGAATTCTGTGTTGCCTAAAACTGAAGGAATTACAAGGAAAAGACAAAAATGAAAATGAAAGGAAGAAGGTTCTCTGTCAATACACATACATACATACAATATTGTAATTAATGCCAAGTGGACTTGGAGTTTGGAAGGAAGGTACTGCATGCATGCGTTCCTGTTCCTAGTCACGACTACTACTCACGGGTCCCAAAGTCAATGAGTCAACAGAATCAAATGAAGGCAAATGGAAAAAGCAAAATCAAATTAAGAAAATCTCTACGTTGCTTTTCTTTAGAATAGAAAGCGTTCATACAATGTAGGCATTATTTTGCAACTGATAATTTTAGGATATATTCAAGGGCGGATCTATTAAGGCGCAAAGAGGTGCAGCTGCACCTCCTTTCGCCAGAAAAATCATTGTAGATGCTTCAAATTGCCCCTTTGCTCAACTGGTGTACAGATTACCTTATTTCCATTTTCAACATTTAAGTAAATGTCTTTGTCTTTTTACTTTTATTTATTTTATATTACTCCATTTACTTAAGTTTACAATGTAAATAAGGAAGTACCCCCCATTTGGATTCAAATAAAAATACTAGAAAATCAAATTCTCACCAAATCAAAATATGAAAATTCGGTTTTAGTGCAAAATACAATTTAGGCTAAAAATGATGGCTCATTAAGTCAATATATACTTCATACTAAAATCCCATAAAATCAAGTTTTCTTATTTGATGTATAAGGAATAAAAGCCGCCAAAAATTATCTTGAGAAAATGATTATTCCGAAAAACCATTTTCATACTTAGTCAATATTGCACCTCTGCTAAAAAATTTCTGGATCCGCCACTGATCATATATTTATTGTTTAGATAATACTTGTGTTAACATTAGTTATTATTGTCAAGATGAGAATGAAGACATTTTCCTAATGGTTATGTGATAAAGCAAACGATTAAGCAAATAGATAGTAAAGAAGAGAACATAGAAGCAACTGAGGGGAGAAAATAAATAGATAGCCTGTATAAAAGGGAAATGTCAAGCCAACAAAAATTGAACTTAAAATGCATTTTCTAAGTAGTTAGCAGGAAGACCCAAAAACAACCAAACTAATGTGAACTTTCGACTTTAGCAAGTAAGATGGAGAAGATTGAAGGATTAAGAGCCGCAACAACTGCACATCTCATATAAAAAATCAGAAAATCATAATAGATGAAAACCACTTGGTGAACCAAAAACAAATAAGACGCTAAAGTAGAAAGACAAGGAAATGAAGAAGCTGAAGCTGAAGTTGTTTCATTCCTCCACCATCCCTTGAGATTAGGGCAATCACGTAGATAAAGACTCTCTAAGGAGGGAAAGAAGGTCGTCGATGGAGAAGCAGCTGACATCATCATCATCTCATCACCGGCAAAGTCCTTAACCTTGTCTTCTGCTGATATGTGCTCCAAATTCCTTAACCCCCAAAGCACAAGACTCTTAAGAAAAGGTAAATGATCCAACGGTGGAAGATGTTGGCATCTATCACAGTCATACAATCCGAGATTAACAATATTTGTGAGAGAATGAAACCAACTCGCAAACCTCGCACCCGGGTATCCCTCAAGGACTAACTGTTTTAGACTTGAATGGGGCTGCAGCGCTTCCATTGACTTAATAATTACATCACTCTCCTCCTCAACCGCATCACTATTTTCTCTTTCGATGCCCATCCAATGTAAAGTCAACGAATAGAGATGTCGTTTCTCCTTCAAAACTGCACCATCATAATTCAATTCTGACACCATATCTTTCTTGTACCTCAAATTTCTGATTTCCAACTCTCTTCTTAAATCCTTTAGCCTCCCCAACTCACTGAGCCCTGCACTGTCCTTGGACATGGAACTATTTTCACTCAAAGCAAACATACTCAAAGTACAAAGACAAGTCAATTCACCCAATCCACGAGGAAATGAAGCAAATAAGACGCTAGGGTGTTATATAATTTTTTATGATGCTTTGTCCTCTTGTTATAAAACATCATGGCGTGCTGTGGCTCTCCCTCTCTCTGTGTCTGGTTTTTGCTACCAAAGCAATCAGAAAGTGGTTAGTTAAGGATGGGCAGCCCGAGACAGAGACTCCAGACCGACGAGCCTCTCCGCTGAACCCTAGGCACTGGTCAAACTTTGAAGTTGAACCACCCCAAGCCAAAGCCAAAGCCTTCCCAATTCACTGACCTTTTCTTTTTTTATTTTCTTTTGGGTCCTTCTTAAGACATTTTGTGCTAGAGTTGGCCTGGTGCAGTCCAAAAGCAAAACAAGCCCAAACTAGGAGATGGAGATTACTGTCCTACTTTTGCTATTTTAAAAGAGAAACATCACATCAACACGTGGCATTATTGGTCATTAGACTATTTTATACAAGTAGGGGGGAAGGTAAGATTGGATACTTCCCAATACAATCCCATTACAGAAAAATATGTAACACAATGCTTTATTCTATAGCTAGCAGTTTGTGTTACAATTATGCCCCATGGACGATGTTCATTACTCAGGGGCAACTTGCAGGGGCAAATCCCATTTTTTTACCAGCCACGTCATATATCACCTCCAACCTCTTCTGTTGAACATTCCCAATAATCCCCAAGCCAGTATCATCCTTGTGTCCCGCAAACGCCAAGCAAGCCTGCGAACTACTTACCACATACAATATCCCGGCCGGGTCCAAGTCCACCGTAACCCCGTCCCCAAACCTAAACGCAATACCCGGATACGACACCGTCTTGTAGCCACTGAAATTGTAACACGTGTCCAGCAGCGAAATCAACATAGTCATCTTGTAGTTTTTCATACCCTCCCGAAACGCGTCCCTCAATGCCCTGTACGCAGTCGCCGGCAGCCGCGTGATCACCGTCCCCAAGTCGATGATGGTTCCCGAAGACGAAAAGACCGAGGACGCAACCGGCAGCTGGCGCCAGTTGACGCTAATGCCGGTGAGGCCGAGGCCATAAAACAATGAAGCTCTTTTGGATAACGTGGTGAGCTTGGTGAACTTGACGCCGTTAGCGGAGCCTCCGCCTTTGCCGAAGGTGAGATGGCCGGTGGAGCTGGAAGTTGACGGAAGGCAGTAGGAAGATTCGAACTCGGGTGCAGAATAATGAGCACATGCGCTCTAGCTAACTTAACTAAGTCCATGTTTTGAGTTTTTTGTGTAATTGATGTAGTGTATTTTTCATGGTTTAATAGATTTTCTTTCTAACCAAAAATTACTATTAGCTTATCTAGATTCATGTTTAAATGTGGACTAACGAAATTGTTTACTTACCTCTCACGCATCATGTAATATTCAACTCGCCTAACTTGATAGAGTAATTAGAAGTTAATTACTTTAGTTTTTTGTATTTGTATTGGTCTTTGTGGCTGACAGTCTTTAGGTCTGAATTATTAATGCAATCTAGTGCCTTTCTCTATAAAATAAAATAAATTGCATCAAAAGTCAGAGAAATTTTTTGAAGAATACCCTGCTCCTTGGTGAGAAACGAAATGTCATGTAGGGTTGTTGGTCCAAATTTGTTGATAACGTCATATCGACAGATGAGGGCATAAGGGTAATATGTAGGGTTAGACAACTTCATGGGTTGACGGGCGCATCCGGGGTCCAAGAGCGAGTCTTGTAGTGTGAGCTTTAGGTGTCAATATAATGCCATTTTGGTGCTTTGTCAACATGATGTAAGCGCCTCTCAGTTGTCTAATTTGCTTCATCAACACTAGTTGGGTAGCTACGAGCTCATCATGTTTTAAAACTATATTTTCTATTTTTATAAAATTCAAAACTTTGCTAAAAATACATTCGAGTTCCCAAAATTTCCCTGAAAAATACTACAAACTTGTTTTACCTCTACTATTTTTCTGTCACATCATCTTCTCCAAATGACCTTTCTAAATATTTTTTTTTATAACAATTCCAATAAATAAAAATAACCTCCAAATAATTCAACATAATATTTACTGGCACAAAGGAAAAGAGGGGGAAAATGAAACCCACCATCCTTTTTTGGGCAGCTCATATGAGGTCCTCGTTTTGAGGACCCGTGAGAGACAAATTTATTGTAGCCGTTGGATTCATCCAATGGGTTGAATCTTAAAAAATAAAAACACTCAAAAACTTGGTCCCAGTTATTAAAAATTAATTGAACTTTCTTTCTTACTCTCTCTGAGTTCACTATCCTCTTTCTTTCATTTTCCTTCTCTCTCTGTTTCCTTTATTTTTTTTTGGGTTGCATTTATGCCTTCTCTCTTGTTGGAAAATTTAGAGAACTCGAATAACAAGAGATAGAAAGCTATGTTGAACTGAAGTGAATTTTCATTTACTGAAACACAGCTTAAATAACACATACAAAGCAACTGACTCATATAATAAAGGAACAACTAAACATCCCTCTACTACCAATACTAACAAACTTCTCCCATAACTAGAAAAACCCTATTGAATAGGTAAAACCTAACTGATTTCCTAAAACATAGGAACCAACAATTATTGAATTACAAATAACATAAATAATTTCTAACACTCTCCCTTAAACTGAATGTTCTTCAAACTTCAATTTAGACAGAGTCTCCAAGTAACTTTGTTGCTGCTGCTTCACCATTAAGGACGATCCTTCCTAGAACACACTCCTAACAATTTCCTCAACTTCTCAAACAAGGGTAACTTGGGTCATAATTTCTGCAATATGATCTTCACTCTTGCAATAATTCAAGTCAATGATTCAATCTTTGCAAAGATCACACAAAAAATGAAATCTCACATGGATATGCTTAGTTCTTCCATGTAGAACAAGATTCTTCCCCAACTTTAATTGCTTAACTAACAATTTGTTGCTTCTTTGAAGACCATGACACTACTCATGTCCTCATCCTAAACACATAGCCTAATGTACTTTTACTGTCATCTAGAACACCTGCATAATCAATATCAATGTAACCCAACAAATTACAACTCTTCCATTTCTTGTAATAAAACAACATACTCCTTAGTCCCATGTAAATATTTGAATATCCTTTTTGCAGCCATAAGGTGAGACTTGATTGGACTTTCCATATACCGACTAATAAGACTTACAACATGCATTATGTTAGGTCTAGTTGATGTAAGATACATGAGGCTGCCAAGAATTTGCTTGAAAAACGTACCATCAACTTTCTTTCCTCTAGGATTCTTAGTCAGCTTCAAGCCCAGCTCAGTTGGAGTACCAACAGAGCTGCAATTCTTGCTTGTAGCCTTCTGCAACTATGTGTGCTTTGTATTTATCAACTTCTCCATTTTCATTAAACTTTGTTTTGTAAACCCACTTGACACCAATGGACTTTTGTGTTCTTCCTCTCACATACACCATTTTGTGAGCTATATTTGAATGCCATTGATATCACAAAAGTCAGCAAACTATTGAGAGGTGAACTCTCCACCACGATCTGTTCAAAGCACTTTAATAAGTTTTCCCACATCATGCACAACAAGAGCTTTGAAGCTTTTGAATGTTGAAAATGCTTTTGATTTTTCTTGCAAGAAATATACCCACGTCTTTCAGCTATAGTCATCAATAAATGTTATGAAATACCTCTTTTTTCCCATTCGATGCAAGATTTATAAGTCTATGTCGGAATGAACCGGCTCTAAAGGTTGCTGAGCTCTCCAAAGCTTTTCCTTTTGGAAAGGACTCACAATGCTACTTTCCGATCATACATTCTTCACAAATTTGAGACGGAGAGTCAATTTCTGGGAGACTAGTCACCATAATCTTCTTGTGCAACGTCTTCAAACCATTGAAATTGAGATGAACATATCAAAAATGCCAAAGCCACATCATATTTTCAACCTTGATAATAAGGCAAGTTTGAACATATATTTGGATTGACGAAGGAAACAATCAATTCTTTGTCATCTTCACTTGAGCAATCATTCATCTTCTCGGATCACTGATCTCACAAGTGCCTTCTTTGATGGTGATCACATAGCCCTTCTCTTGCAGTTGGCCAATGCTAAGAAAATTGGTTTTTAAGGCAAGAGCATAATACACATTAGAAATCGTTTGAAGGAAGTTATCCTTCGCTTTGATTTGGATATCACTCTTCCCATCACTGAAATCACAAAATCATCACCAAAATTCACAGTAGTATGAAAAGATACATATAAATGATGAAAATCAGACTTACTCCCACATATACGATTGCTACTTCCTGAGTCAATATACCACCAATTGGAATGTGATTCCTCTTTTGTATCGCAAGCAATAAGAAGAATTTCTTCATCTCTTTGTTCAAATTTTGATGTCTCACCCCTTTCTTTAGACATGTTAGTGTAGCATTCAGACCGATAGTGACAGTACCTACCACACCTATAGCACTCAATCTGTGATTTTTCAAGTTTTGACTCATGATGTCTTTGTTGTTTGTATTGACCTCTGACTCTACCTCTAGAATCAGATTTTCCTCTGTTGTCGAAATCATGATTTCCTCTGCTGCCAAAATCATGAGGACCTCTCCCTCTTCCTCTTGCTCGACCTCCACCTCGACCATGACCAGAGCCTTTCCATGATGAGGATTCATTGCAGGTGGAGCTTTTAAAGCTATCTCCTTTATTGTAGTATTTTGACTTTTAAGTTTCTGCTCATGCACCAACAGTGAACTATGCAATTCATCAACTGACATTGTTTCAATGTCGTTTACTTCCTCAATTGCACAAACAACATAGTTAAACTTTGGCGACATTGAACGCATAATTTTTTTCAATGATTGTGAAATCATCCATCTTGTCACCATGAAGTTGCATCTTACTTGCAATTGCCATCGTCTTCGAGAAGTATTCATCAATAGAATCTTCTCGTTTCATGTGAAGATTTTCAAAATCTCTCCAAAGTGCTTGAAGCTGTACATACTTCACCTTGGTGGAACCTTGATTATTTTTCTTCATAGACTCCCATATCTGCTTGGAAGTGTCATTCTAGAGAATAGTGTCCAAAATGGATCGATCAATCGCCCATAATCGATAATTTTTCACTTTGAGGTCCTTGAAGTTATGTTCATCAAGCCTCTTTTGTTGCCTTGAAGTTATGTTCGCCAAGCCTCTTCTGTTGCATTTCCATCAACAATGCTCCCTCTACTGGTTCTACAATTCTAGTTTCAATAAGACTCCAATACTCTTTGGATCTCATAAAATTCTCCATTAACATGCTCCAATGGTCATAATGACCATCGAAACGAAGTATGGCTGGCTGCACGTAGTTCTCTTGAAACTTGTCGGATGCCATCAGTCCTTGCTGCTGCAAGTCAAGAAAGCTGCTCTTTTTGGAGAATTTAAGTCAGGCCCAATGGGGCTCTGATACCAGATGTTGAAAAATTTAGAGAACTCAAATAATAAGATATAGAAAGCTATGTTGAACTGAAGTGAATTTTCATTGACTGAAACACAACTTAAATAACACATACAAAGCAACTGACTCATATAATAAAGGAACAACTAAACATCCCACTACTACTAATACTAATAGACTTCTCCCACAACTAGTACACACCTATTGAATAGGTAAAACCTAGCTGATTTCCTAAAACATAGGAACCAACAATATTGAATTACAAATAACATAAATAATTTATAACATCTCTCTTTCCTTTTTTTTTCTTCCTCTTTATTTCCTTATCTCCTCTCTTTGTTTTTTTCCTGGATTTTTCTCTTCTCTCTCTCTTTTCTTTTTTTTTCTTCTTCTTTCTGTGCTCTAGTTTTCTTAGTGGTACATGGCCTTTGAGTTACAAGAGAAGGCCTCTGAATTCCGATGAACTCCATTGGCAGGAACTCCAAGCTGCTGTTCTCTTTGTCAATATCCCAAGCATTTCGATCACTATGCTTATAGCATAGAGAAAGAAGAAGGAAAAAAAAGAGAGGAACCAGAGAGAGAGAGAGAAGGGATAAACGAACTTTCCTTCCCATGGAAAACCAAGGCCAACATTAAATGCATTTTTTATGATCAATTTATCCTTATTATCATATAGATTACAATGTTATCCAACAACAAAGATTGTTGGTTTTTTTTTCTTCATATATCCAACACAGAATAATTGGAAAACTTTATTTCTACACAATTAAAACATGGGAAATGAAATAAAGTGGTATTTTCTGGTTGCTTTCTTTGCTTTACCAAATATGAGAAAACATAAGGGGCTGTGTAGCTCAAGTGTTTAACAGCATATACTCTTGCAAATAAGCATTCTCATCCCTTAAGAAAATACATGAAAAATTATTTCCCATCAAAACATATTTTATGAATCAAACATAGCCTAGATGATTGCTAATAACCATTCTCATTTTTTTTAAAGGACAAATTTCCGAAATCTCTGCCAGAAGTCAATATTGAATGCTTTTTAAGTCCACAACTTGACTATATGTATTTAAAACGTAAAAATGTAGACTTGTCAAAAGTAAAAATGTAGACATTAGCCCAAGTAGAAATGAGTTGTTAGGTAGTTTGATGGGTACAGAAATGGTGAATTGGTGATCACGTCCCCCAAAAAGAAGTAGAAATTTGTATCTTGGTTGGAGTTCAATTAAAGAAAGATAAAAAATATTTGTATATTGCAATAGCTTAATAATTAAGAAATATGCAATGGAAGGCAAGGAAGGAATAAGGAGTGAAAGGGAGAGATCTGACTTGCCAGAGGTGCGAGTGACAACACATCATTGTGTTTCCAGTCAGTACGTGTGGTTCAACTTGAGGCTCCTTCACTTCAAGGACAGAGAAACAGAGGGAGAGAGAGAGAGAGATAGTGGGGTGGGAGGATCACTCACTCACACTATTTACCCATCATCCACCAAATCAGTCATGAGTCTCCTTGCTGCTTGCTCATCTCATCTCAGATAGAGACAGAGATTGAAAAAGCATAATGACCAGAATGCCCTCGATGGCATTAATCCCCAAATCCAAAACAAGATGCAAGTCCTCCCTCCTCCTGAGTCGTCCTACTCGTGACTGGAACTGGCCGCCTCCCCTTCCCCCTTCCCCCTTCCCCTCTGCACTGCCAACAATAATCTCCGTCAATTAAAAAATATAAAGAAATGGGTGACCATCAGACGTTCTGGTGCCACGAATGCGACATGAGCGTGAGCCTGGTGCCTTGTTCTGCCCAGGAGACTCTGCTCTGCCCTCACTGCTTCAGCGATCTCTTGGAGCTCATGGATTCTTCGTCTTCTTCTTCTGCTTCTTTTTCTGACCATCAGCCCAACTCACAAGACAACTTCTTGCTCAGCAGCCCATTCCTCCACCGCCTCATCCACCACCTCTCCACCCACCCCATCAACCACGACGACCGCCTCCCTTCACCCACCGCCGCCGTCCCCCCTTCTTCTCTGCCTGCCTCCAAGGCCTCCGTCGACGCCATCCCCACTCTCAAGATCACTTCCTCCATGCTCGATCTCGACCCCCTTCTCCTCTGCGCCGTTTGTAAGGACCCATTCCTTCACTCCGTCGACGCCAAGCAGCTCCCTTGCAACCATCTCTACCATCCCCACTGCATTCTCCCCTGGCTCTCTTCCCACAGCTCTTGCCCCCTCTGCCGTTTCCAGCTCCCCACCGACACTCACCAACCACACCTACGACACCAAAACCAAAACACCCCCTTGCCCTTCGACGACGACGACGATCAGTACGATTGGTTCATGGAATATGGATCCCGTGGGGGTAGTCTCCGCCTCAGCTACATTGCTGCCAGTGGAAGGCAAATGGCCAACCCAGAAGAAATGGCTCCCGCTGCCTCCCCCAATGTCAATGTCAATGTCAATGCCAATGCCAATGCCGACTCATCTTTCAACGGTTCGTTTTCTTTTCATTCCCATTGTCGTAATTTCTATCAATTGCGTTGCCTTGTTTTTATTGCATTTTTGTGTGCTGCTCATATTACAACCCCTCGCATGTCTTCTGAGTTAGGTTGAAATTCTGTGTTTCTTTGAATGCTATTAGGAGTTCACTAACCAAACAAATCTATGGTATTGAAGCTTTTGCCAAACATGAGCTTATCTTGTAGTTGTAATTAACACTTCAGAGAAGTCTTAGCCTGCGGAGATTTCCGTTTTTTAATCCAAAATAAACAGGAATTCCTTTCATTTTCTTCTTGGTTTTCACAGTAAAACTTGATTTGTGTCTTCTACAGCTATGCTGTATGCTATCCTGTTTAAATAGACCTCTTCCTGGTTTTCACTAGGAATGATATCCCAAATGAAGAAATTTTAGTGAGCACTTGGTAGTTGGTTGGCTACCAAAGAGGCTCATACTCATGTCAGTGACAAACATTATTCATGTTTTAGGTAGTTTCAAAGAGTTTCCTCCAAAAATTTCTATACAATTTTGAAAATCTTGCATAAAATTAACAAGAAACTCTGGCCTTTAAATAATTAACATTCACTGGTGTATGTAAAGCTATGAGTCAAACTAGACAAGAGTTGATTTTGATGCTGTCTACCAAGTTGTAGCTTAAAGTCCAACAGTAAACAGTTACATGTGTGGGTTGAAAGAAGTCCATGATCCTCTTTCTACATGAGAGTATACGTGGCCTACTTCAATTTTGCTGTGGTATGGATAACATTTTTATGGGTTCTGTCCTTTAGATCATACCAGAGATTATGCTTCAGTGATATCAACTTTTTGCGAGTTCCCATTTTTGTGCATTGTCAGTGTTTAATGGGGGTGGCTTGGGGGTTGTTCTCCTTCTAGGTGTTTCCCAGATGCCCCATCTTTATCTTTGACAGCAATTTCATCCCCAATTGATCATGGTTCAAACTTGTGAGCATTAGCTTAAATGGTTCATCAATGTGGAGGCCCAGGGCCTGTCCTGTGACTATCGGCCATAATTGACTTGTAGCATCCCCCACTCCATACACCTCTCAATTCTTGCTGAGGCTGAACGTGAGTTATAGGCTCCTATTACTTTGCTAGGAGGCTTGATCAACTAAGAAGTTGGCACTTATCCATTGGGCATTTATAAAGGTCTTGCTTCAAGGGTTTGCTAAATCCATGTTATGGTATAAATTCAAACCATAAGTGCTGGATAGGTAAATCTCATTTCACTTTAAAATATGCCTGTCTTTTCCATTTTTCCTCCAACGCATCTAGCTATTCTCTTTGCATCCAACAATTTCATACCCATCGTTGTGGTTCATGGGTTTATTTATATTGAAGTTGTACTGGGATTAGTATTTTCTAACCGGACATACAGGGATTAATATGATTATTCAAGATAACATAAGTTGCCTTATGTACCAATTTGAAGGTTCCTACCACTGCAGCCTTAAGTTGGGGCAAACTCTTCTCTTTGTTTTCTTTCTTTTTTGTAGTAGTTACTTAAGACTAAAACATGACAATGAAATCATCTTCCTGGGCAACTTTGGGGCCAAAGTTGCAAGATGTCTGTTCTAGCTTCGACATGGCCTATGTTTAAACCATGATGGCCAGAGTGAAGTTCACAATGCCATGTCACCTGGCTAATTCTTACCTTGTAATCAATTTTTAAATGCCAAATATCCAAGAGCAAGGCTTTATAGATTTTACTAATATATCTCTTTCAATATTTGATTGCAGGAAATTTGTAGTTAGATCTGTTTTGAGGAACCTTGAGCGTCACCAGAAAATTGAAGTGTAAATCTGCGGAGGATGGTTGTGCTACTTTTTCTTGCTTACCTTTTCCTTGGTCTGAGTCAACTAGTCAGCACCCTGATCATATGTGATAATCGTGCATTATCCCCTCCCTTCTCTCCTTTACAGAGCTGGGGTTAAAGTATGTGTATACCTTTTTCGTCTTCAATTTCAGTTAATAAATGGAAGGCTTGTCTGCCTCTTTGGTTTGTGATGCCGCAAAGTTGTTTTAACCTTGATTGTTCCTTGAATCGGTCAACCTTTGATCTGACTACTGTTCTGTGATGTCGCTTCTTTCCATCATTATCTCTTTAACAAGGGGAGCTTGTTACCTGTGGTGATGTGTGTTCTGGATCTGAAAAGTAGCAGTTCACATTCCCTACCGGCTTATCCACCCAGGAACGCAGCTTCGTTTCATAATCCAAATAACAGGTTTTGTGCCAGTTCTGCCATGATTAGGTTTTAATTGAAAGATTATCTCATCGACTGTTATGTACTGTAACTGATCACGCTCTCAGCTCTTTTATTATTATTTTCTTTGTAAATCTGTAATTTTTGGGGTGGGAAGGGATGGTGTTTGAACAGAGTGAGGCAGCTGCCTGTCCTAGTATGTTTTAGGTCAATAAAAGGATTGTTGAAAAGTTTAACATGAAGAAATATTTGGATTGACCATTAACTTGTCAAGTACGCGAAAGAGAGAAATGCTGCTAAGCTGTCTCTAACTTGTGAGTTACGACTTCTGAGAGCCGTGGAAGCAATTAGCCAATCTTCCACACTCCAATTATTCTTCTGGAAACAGGCAATAGCCGGTGGAGATCATCGTCATCTCCATTTGGGGCTGCACAAGCAATCTCCATAACCGCCATACGTCTGTTCCCGTGTCATAGACGGTAGAAAACAAAGTCATCAAAGACGCGTAAAGTAATAATACCCGGATTCTTTAATCACGTGCTGCTTTTGACCTCTTATTATAACTACTATCAAACAAACACATCCCAATCAAACTAACAAACACTCGCATAAAGTCGCTACGCATACAATCCATTCAAGAGTTATTTTATTGACGCGAATTAGGTGATGATGAGTGCTTGCTTCGTCTAACCTGCAAACTATTGGATGATCAAATCAAGCTCAATCTACCTTCTTAGCTACTTTCGCTTGTCTTTCGTTCATTGTATCTACATCACTCATTACGTAACTTATTATGTCTATTATGTGATTCATTTTATTTATCGTGACACGTCATCTAGATTAGGATAATGCAAAAACTGACCCAGTCTCTCTGCTCCTCCTTTGATTACGGGGATGGCTTAGGACTTAGGAAGACCGTCGAGATTAGCTGCTTTACTTTTCAACTACTCCGACATGGTCAACATGATAAAAACCACGTCAGCACAAGTTCTAGATTGTGACGGCAAGTCAAAGAGGTTGGCGCCTTTCATGTTTTCCATGCTCCATAATCAAATTCGTACGCTTCCCTTCTCATGGAAACTCTATAAATACCATCTCTCGTAAGTAGTTTTAAATCCAAATTCATTCATCACTTGCCAAGTTCCTCCTCCGGCCAAATCAAAACAAGCTTGTCTGAAACAGAGAACAGGTTAGCAAGGACACAAATAATTAAGGATGATGATGATTATGGAAAGCAGCGTAGCAGATGTGTTGGTGAAGGTAGCCCTGTTCATACTGGTTCAGGGTTTGGTATATCTCATCCTTTCCAACTCATCAAATATCTTCTCCAAAACTACCAGGAGATCACATAGCTTCAAACCAGCTCGTTCTGTAAGCATCCGTCGGATGCTTGCTGTTCTTGCCGACTTACCCGCCGGCGGTGAGCTCTCTCCTTCATCAAATTATTCGAGGGATGATTTGCAGTCTCCTCGTAGCCCGGAAAATGCATCGCCTCGATACTCCTAATCAGCATGCATATTCCATTTGGATTTTTGTACAAGATTGTTAATATGTTTGTGAGTTTGAGAGATTCATTTGTTGTTTGATTAAATATGTATTCAGTATTATTGACAATAGCATTTTGATACAATAGGCGTTTGCCAATTTAAATTCATGGTTTGCTCAGTGTTTAGTTCTTTTTTATAGTTTGAAAAAATGCCAATCACATGCCCAAAAACAAAACTCTTGAAATAGATTGAACCTTAGTAATTTTTCACTCTCTTTAACTTCTTACCGCTTTTTAGGTTTGTTCTCACAATGCGGAGAGTTCTCTGTTAGGATAGGATCAATATATGAAAAACTTGATTCTGATATCATGTGAAGAGAACATCCAACTCAACTTCTAGCAGGCGTTCATGAGCCTAAAATCACAGAAAAACTTGTGTGAAACGGGATAACATTGTTTTGCTATCCTCAACCAATCATAGACTATCACGTGAAAAAGTTGTCACATATGATATGTCGTGATTGGTTGAAGATAGTGCTATTTCCTTCAACTTTCCAAATGACAAAACAAATTTTCATGGTTGACAAGGTAAACTATCTTTAATTAAAAAAATTATTGGATCTTCAATTGGAGGGAGATGTTTAGGGAGTCAAAGTACCCTCCTTGAGCAGCAGTAGCTTGTTTACAAGGAATTGCTGACAAAGAGGCCCTCTGTTTGATCATCACACGTGTTATGCCAACAAGGAGAGTATGGCCGGGATTTATCTGCAGGAAATATAGTCAAAGGCTTGCTTGGGATCGGACGTCTCAGAAATCCGTGAGCTTACCACGTGTATGGCTGGGATTTATCTGCAGGAAATAGTTAAAGGCCTTTTTTTGTCGGTTACAAAATAGTTAAAGCTTTAAAATGCAATAATCAGTTTACGAAGAGAATAAAGAAAAAGAAGAGAGGTAGGTAAATGATATTCTTGCAAATACCAAGTTACAGAGTCATTTGGTGAATTTTTACTGAAAAGCAATAATAAAGTGAAGAAAAAATGAACATAATTAACAAAGTGTATTCTAACAGTAATAGAGTGACGCCGCCTCTATTTGCCAAAAGCGTAAGGCAATATTGTTGTTTCATACAAGTGTTTCTCTTAAAATCATCTAATTCCGGCTAAGCCAAGCCAAGGACAGCAATTTTTGGAGATTAATTTTAACAGAATGTCAAACCTCACAAGGTTAAGGTAGTTGATGTTATCGAATCAAAGATTGTTAAAGAATATGATGATCCAAAACTAGCCCGAATGAAAAAATCAATTTTAAAATGGAATGTCAATTTCCGCCAAGCGTGCATTTTATTTGTTTAACAAATATACAGATCAGTTTCAACGAAATTGAAAAGCATAGGCCTTGTGTAAGTGACAAATTGATTGAGCAATTTAGAAGAGAAAAAAAGAGAGTAAAATATTGTGTCATTAAAGATGTATTTTTTTTCTCTTCCAAAGGTCAGATTTAAAAAAGAAAAGAAAAGAAGAATAGACGTTCTATTTGCTAACTGGATTAATCCAATTATTCTGGGTTGGTGCACGACACCTGCTCCCCCCAAATATTATATATAGCCAGGTGATTCGAATAAATAATGTTACACTTTCCTATATAAGGCGGTCCAATAATACTTTTTCTATATAGTATATAGAGAATGTATTCCAATATATAATTGTAACACTCTGTATTATCTATATTTATTTTTATTTACTTTTTGGCTTGCGAGTGAGTAGCAAAAACCTCACCATCCCACAGCAAACCCTTGAGCTTGACCTTAAAATATGGTACACCCAAGACATATTGGGCACCGGTGGTGGTGGTGGTGGTGGGGACAAACAAAACCGCAAGTGAAGTTGAGGCAAATGATGATCGACTACATATCTTTCACGGGGAGGGGACCATCTTGCCAATGCCATGACCACGTGACACCAACTCCAAGAATGGATCGTCTTGTTGCTGCACAAAGTTGAAGTGTTGCAGCAGCAGCAGCACTAGTACGTAGTAGTAGTAGTACAACACAGTCGTAATAAGTTCACCCAACTGCAATCTGCAACAATATGAGCGTCTGCACTCACGTCACGTGCATTATGCATATCAACAATATTGCATGCCAGACCATCATTGTAATTTGTACCCTACATGTGGTACACTGCATGCCTTTTTTTTTTTTATCCTGTCATGAACCAAGTCTTCAAAATCAAATAGCATTGAGGAGGAATGGGCAATGGATAAAGAACTTTGAAATTTTGGATTTTAATCTGAGACTAGAAACCTTAAGTACAAGCTCTAAACTAATGATGATTCTACACCCCAAACAATTAACCATGTTCTAATAGATTGGATCAAAATTGAAATTTTTTTATAGTAGAAATGAGGTTTTTTCAACGGGTTTTATCTTTAAGAAAGACGTGACTTCTTGCACAAAATCGGATACACATAATATATATGTGTGTGGAAATCAAGGATCAGTTTAGTTTGGTCATTATGTTGACATTCAATTATAACCAAATGAAGGCCCAATGAACTTTTTTTATTTTTTTATCAATGAGGTATAGGCGGAATATGAATTTTGAATTTTTTTTTAACATTAAAAAAAAAGTAACCAGTAGACTAAGCTAATTAAAAAGTAATTATATATGCTTGAATGTATGCGTGTAATGTTGAAAAAAAAATTAAAAATGTGATTATATATGCTGGCAGGGTCTAATAAATTGGTCTTATGGTAGTTCATTGACTTGGGAAATATTTAGCTTATATCTAATCATTGCTTCCAAAGGACACCTTTGCTATGGTTTGCCTTCAGTTAAACCTGCAATTTCTTGAACAGTACTTCCCTTCCCTTGTATCAATATATTTCTTCTATCTACAAAAACCCAAATACTATCTAGCTTTGTTCCCACACAAAACCACATCCCCACACAAACATAAACACCAGATATCTTATAGTTGACTCCATGGAGAAGATGATGAAGAAGCCACAGTACTCATCATGTAATCCAAGTTCAGCTTCTTCTAAACTGGGCATGCACAAAGATTCACATAAAATATCGAATACGGCGTCCAAGCCAAAGATTCGCATAATCCACGTATGTGCACCTGAAATCATAAAGACAGATGTGGCCAACTTTCGGGAACTGGTGCAGAATCTCACTGGAAAACCTGCAGCAGCACCGGAAGTAGTAAATGGTAGTAGGAAGAAAACAATAAGATGTTCGACTTATTCATCACCAAGCGAGAAAATATTGGAATTGCAAAATGATGGAGATCGGAGTGTAAAGGAGGAAATACAAAACTACACGCGGAGATCATCATCATCATCATCAGGTGATCATCATCCAGAGAAGATAAATAGTTTCTTGGATGGTTTCTCAGATTTGGATGGCTTTATTGAAGATTTAAGTACTGAATTTCCTTCTCTTCATTCATCAAGCTCTTCCGCTCCATCCCCTTGGATGCATTTGGAGATGCATGATCAGTAGTACCATTCATATATTCTGGTTAAGAATATTCACGCTCAGGATCTCTCTCTCTCTCTCTCTCTCTCTCTCTCTCTCTCTCTCTCTCTCCCCTGAGAACATCTCTCTTTTAGTCACCTGCTTCATGTTAGATAAGCAAGGGGACTATGTAGTTATATGCTCATTTTTTATTTCTTACTTTCTTTTTTGTGTTGGGCAGTTGCAATTAATTATAGTACTTAATTTGCAAACTTTCTGCATGTATTCTTCTAGTTTATTTTTCTTTAGATCAGCTCCATTTCAAGACCAATGCGATGATCATGTGATTATATTGCTCCCATGTATATTAGCGTGTAGGCTTTTTTTTTCTTTTTTACTGTGGTGGAACTAGGAGGTGTAAATTGGGAATTGCATTTTTTTAATTTCTTTTTAAAAGTGGAGGGTAAATTGAGATTTGTGAGGAGGGGTCCTCCTTAGTTTTAATTCTAATCCAACAAGAAGAATATTTGTTTCAAACTGGATAGTATCATATAAGTTTTGCAAACATGAACTTAATTAAGTTGGTTAGAACGGATATGCTCTCTGAATTGTGGGCCCTGCTTCTGACACTTTTTGGGTCTCCAAGAGTGAGACGCATGAGATGGCATACTGGGCCATAATCCTTTCTTTATTTTGTTTGTGCATGGACGACCTTCCTTCTCCTTGTTTAGACTTGAGCGGTTTAAGGGAAGGTTGATTTTGTCCTACCAATCATTTGGGTCCAGTCACTTCCTCAAGTGGTCTGGGCCTGCGTCTCTTGGACTCTTATGGAAGGGCCTAATTGATATTTGATATCAACATAGTACATTAAGGGCTCATTTGATATACCGTATTAGACTCTGGATATGAGTAAATAGTCCGTGTCAATTGTTTGGTGTCAACTTATATTATTTAATTACCTGACTATTTTAAACGGTTTGGGCTTTTAATACTCTTCTTACCTGACTAACTAATACAACCCACACACCCCGGTTTAGATAATACATGCTTAATTATAAGGCTAGGAAAAAAAGAACACACGTTATACGTGAAAAATCAGACACTATTTTTATCTTCTTCTCCCCATGGTTCTTCTATGCTATCTTCTCTAATGGTTAATCTCTTCACTCTTCTCCAGGCATCCATCTCTTTCTCTCATACTCTCTCCAATATGTTTCTCTTCTTCACTCTTCATCTTCTTCAAAGGCTATTTGGTGACTGTTTGTGGAAAACACAAATAAATAATTTGTGTATGGTGGTTTTTTTATTTGAGTTTCGAACACCGAAGTTTGCAGCTTTGCTTAGTGTTGAAATTCATTCTTTCCCATTTATGTTGTCTCAATTCAAAGGCTTAGCCAGATTCCAGATTTTTTATATATTAATTTTTTGATAAAAATCCCATATTCCAAATTTAACTTGGGGGGTTTTGCATCAATGATGTGGTGGGCCGGTGAGGAAGACAATGAAAGAAGCAGATAGAGGGAAGAGAGAATATGGAGAGAGGTTTCTTGTTTTAGAATTAGGCAGCTGTTAGATGTATCTAATGGCTAAAATGATTTGTCAATAATTTGGCAAAAAGAAAAAGAAAAAACAATTGTGACATGAATCTTAACAAAAAAATTCGTGTTATTTGAATTTCAATTTCCACTTAAATTATTAAAGATTTTTATAAATAAAAAAAAAAAATCTGATATGATGTTATCCGACAGAGCACCAAACACATTATAACATAGTCAGACTATTTATCTGGAACAACACCAAATGCCTTATAATATTATGGATAAACAGTTAGTACTCTCCGCAACAAATTAATACTATTTGACATAAATTAGTCAATATTGTCCAACGTATCAAACGAGTCCTAATACACATATTTTAAGATGTAGTACAAATTGATTTGCAATGCAAGGAAATACTCGTATTATAGTGCAAGCTAACACAAGATATCCCTAATATTATTTTTTTTGGGGGGGGGGGGGGGGGGGGGGGGGGGGGGTGGGGGGGATTCGAATTCAGATGCAAGGGCGTGGGCATATTACTTGGTTTAAACTCTCTGTTTCATGTTTCCCACAAATTTTTCTATGTCATTGGATAGACATTGAAGACGACTATTTTCTATGTTGAAAGCCGAAGTAAAAGTGTGAGATTTTTGAACTTATATCTTATTTTCAATTTGTCATCTTAAAGAAAAATTTAAGAACAATCTTACCTTAAATTTCAAATTCCATGCTTTGTCATTAGACTTTAACACCATCCATTTTTAAGGGTATTTTAGTCTTTCCATTTTCAAGGGTATTTTAAAAATGGAAAGAATCATTATATATATATATATAAAATTGTATACTTTTAAACAATTAAAATTCAAGAAAAAAAATTCTCACATTCCCCCATCCCCTACGCGCCACAGTGAGCTCCAACCAACCCTGCCTACCTTGAAATCCGTTCCCCCTTTCCTCATTCTCTCTCTACCATGGAACACCTACCATCCATACACAAATTCCCTCAGCCCAACCAAACAAGAGCGGAACCAAGAATTTATATAGGGATGGGCTAATTTTTTATTAACTAGCTTTTTCTATATAATAATAGATTCTTTAATTGGTCTAGAGAAATTAGGAACCAAACAAGTTCATCCTTGGCTTTGTTGAATAAAATGTAATAAGTAGCTTCAACTTTATTTGTGGGAGTATATGGGTTACGTAGCTTATAAAATTTGCCATGGGTGGGCTAATATATGTGGGAATATGGGTTCCTTATCATGCTCAAAGAAGAGGGGAGGGGAGGTCTCTTGCGTGATGTGTTTTGGGGGCGGGTGCAGTTGCGGTGGGGGAGAAACAAAGAGAGATGTCTCTTTTTTCTCTATTTTTTTTTCCTTCATAATGGAAAAACTAAAATACCCTTAAAAATGGATGGAAAATTAGATGATGTTAAAGTCAGATGACAAATCATGGGTTTTGAAAAATTAAGATGACATTTCTCTTAAAATTTTTCTTTAAGGTTACAAATTGAAATTGAAATATAAGTTCAGGTGACACTTCTACAAAAATCCCTAAAAGTGTTGATGCAATAAACCCCTAATTCTGTTAAAGAAAAAGATGGAACATTAGAACATGTCTACTGAGACTTATCTGGCCTGGGCTAGGTCCAGATTTGGCCTCAGAGCAGTTCCAGCGAAGAAGCCAGGGGGCAGGCTAGGGGCGTTTTGAGCCCAAATCACGTTTCCAACAGCAAAGGCTTGCCTGGGCAGGAGGTGGGGACCACGAGCTTGGGCTGGCCCGAGGGGGAGTTCAGCCCGAGCGCGAGTTTTGGGTTGATGTCATTACTGACGCCAGGTTGGCGTCAGCCCACTCATTTGAATTTTTTTACTGTTGCCACGTGGCGTCGTTTGGGCTCCTTGATCGGATTTTTTCCTCTAATCCAAGGGCAGCCAATTTTTTTGCAATAAAATACTGAAAAAAATACCCAAAAATTAATGAATTTTTTTTCAATAAATACCAGCCAATTTTTTTTTAAAATTTATCTAAAATTTGAAACCGAAAATTTTATCCGATTATAAGATGTGAATAGTATTGACATGTAGGAACCCAAAAATCTTATCCAAATTAATTATTGAGGTAAAAAAAAGTTGTGAAAAAAACAAAAAAATGAATAGTAATTGCCCTTTGCCATGACAACGGGTGAAAATACACATTGCTTTTTATAAGGGCAACTACTATTCACGTGAATAGTGGCTGCCCTAGCCCCCCCTTTGCCATGGCAAAGGGCAAATAAGTGGAGTTGCTCTAAAGGCAAGATGAGGGACTGGTTTTGCCCACCTGCTAGCCCGGGCAAGATAAGGGTCACATTGTTTTTTTATTTTTTTAATAAAAAAAATAAGAGCAGTAAAAGCTGACTTCAACAACCATTGAGGAGTTGTCATGTGGCGCTATCAATAACATCAAATGCAATGGTCCAGTAGTTAGTTGCTGGTCCTTTTTTCCCTCATAACTCTTGGTTCAATCCTCCTCCCTAGTTGTTTTTCACATTTCCAAAAATTCAATAATGTGTTACTTTTCTTAGGCTTTGATTTTTATCATTAAAAAAAAATAATAAATTAAAATAACAAGTTTTGAGTTGTAACCCTAATCCCTCACCACTAGAACCACAAAAAATTTAAAAAGCTAAATTTTGTGAATAGTACCATTTTGAGGGACTGAAACAACACCTAACGCCCTTCCCCCTTCCCTTGCATTAGACATGCTCATATCCAATTCAGAAGTATATGAAATAATTCCAAGAGAGAGACTTACCCATGCATCCTTGGAAATCCCACATAACCTCACGTTTCCAACAGCAAAGGCTTGCCTGGGCAAGAGGTGGGGGCCACGAGGCTGGGTTGGCCTGAGGGGGAGTTCAGCCCCAGCGCGAGCCCGAGTTTTGAGCTGATGTCATCACTGATGCCAGGCTGGCGTTAGCCCACTCATTTGAATTTTTTTTACTGTTGCCACGTGGCATCATCTAAGCTCTTTGATCGGATTTTTTCCTCTAATCCAAGGACAAGCAATTTTTTTGCAATAAAATACTGAAAAAAATTCAGAAAATTTTTTAAAAAATTACCCAAAAATTAATGAATTTTTTTTTCTATAAATACCCGCCAATTTTTTTTGAAATTTATATGAAATTTGAAATCGAAAATTTTATTCGATTATGAGATATGAATAGTATTGACAGGTAGGAACCCAAAAATCTTATCCGAAAATATTATCCAAATTAATTATTGAGGTAAAAAAAAGTTGTGAAAAAAATATAAAAAATGAATAGTAATTGCCCTTTGCCATGGCAACGGGTGGAAACACACATTGTTTTTTACAATGTCAACTACTATTCACGTGAATAGTGGCTGCCCTAGCCCCCCCTTGCCATGACAAAGAACAAATGAGTAGAGTTGCTCTAAAGGCAAGATGAGGGATTGGTTTTGCCCACCTACTGGCTTGGGCAAGATAAGGATCACATTGTCTTTTTATTTTTTTTAATAAAAAAAATAAGAGCAGTAAAAGCTGACTTCAACAACCATTGAGGAGCTGTCATGTGGCGCTATCAAATGCAATGGTCCAACAGTTAGTTGCTGGTCCTGTTTTTCCCTCATAACTTTTGGTTCAATCCTCCTCCCTAGTTGTTTTTCACATTTCCAAAAATCCAATAATGTGTTACTTTTTTTAGGCTTTGATTTTTATCATCAATAAAATAATAATAAATTAAAATAACAAGTTTTGAGTTGTAACCCTAATCCCTCACCACTAGAACCACAAAAAATTTAAAAAGCTAAATTTTGTGAATAGTACCATTTTGAGGGGCTAAAACAACACCTAACGCCCTTCCCCCTTTCCTTGCATTAGACATGCTCTTATCCAATTCAGAAGTATGTGAAATAATTCCAAGAGAGAGACTTACCCATGCATCCTTGAAAAACAGACACAGAACAGGATATGGTGTGTCCGATGTTATAATCACGCTCATTTGTTTGGGTCGACATGCTCCCATCCTCTTTGATTGGCATTCTAAACAAGGATGGTCTCCCTTGCCCTCTGCAGCGTGTCCCTTGACAGATTTGGGCTGGCTGTGACGTATCTTGGCTTGTTGAAGCAGCAGCGTCTTTGTGTGCTTTCCAATCTGTATCAAATCCATGTTTAGTGTTATTGCTTTGCTTTGCTTTGCTTGCAGTCCCATATCATCGGACTCTTGCCTGTCTGTAAGTTGGTGCTTATAGGAGTGTGAGAGGTAAAATGCCAAAATCATTTTCCAGGGAAAATGGCATCAGTTGATTATTAAATCATTTTTGAGTGTATTAAGTTAATGTTTCTACAATATTGTGATGCTAATTACAACAGAGTTGTTTTTGTGATTGGAATTTACTTTTTCACTGAAAATATTTATTATTATTATTTTGTCAATACGCAGGAGGAACAAAGTTACAATTGGAAAATGAACGCAAATTACAAGAACACACGTGGATTGCCGAGAGCAGCAACACCACCACATATAGCAATTGACCAGTTCGACATCCGGTGTGGATCACAATCAACGACGTCATCTGCTGTTACATCAGAGCTTTTGATTTAATTTCTACCACCAAATTCCCTTCAAGTGAGTGCCACTCCAAAATGCAGTTACACTGGATTATATACCATCTCATCTCAGATTGCAAACCACTCGGCCACTTTTCTATTGAAATTCAGCGCATAACAGTCTTCTTTCTTTTGTTAATTATATGCAGTCTATATACAAAGAAAACAAAGTTGAGGTGAGCATTGTTCATACCTTGGCACCAAAGTTACCACCCGACTGTTGAAATCTTCAACTCGTCCCCAAACAAGTCTGTTATCTTTATATGCACTATGTCTTATTGTAGTTCATTTTGTCACATATTCTCAGAGTCATAGCCTGCATATAAAGATAACGGACTTGTTGGAGGACGAATTGAAGATGGTAACAATAGTCGGGTGGTGACTTTGGTGCCAAGATATGAAAAATGGCCACCCCATTTTTGTATATACATGGCCCCTGCTTATAAATTAAAAAAGGAAAAACAGATTAAAGTAACATATTAAAGATATCATATAACAAACACACAGAGACTGCAAAGCTTACTCTTAACATAGATAGAGAGACAGAGGAGGCTGTGTTTGATAGTTCAATAACACCATTAAACTACAACTATAACTAGTTTAGCAGTAGAGGGAGGTAGTGCTGCTGCAACCTCATTTCTGTTGTGTTTTATATACACAGTATGAACATAATATAAAAGTTATATTTCTGATGCAAAGTACATTAGTACACATCTTCTAAGACGAAGTACAAATTTGATTTGCGGTGTAGTGCAGTGCAGTAGTACTGTAGTACTCGTACTACAATGGAACTCTTAACTCGGTGAAAAAACACTGAAGCAGCTTGAAGGAACATCATTGCAGCAAATGGGCTTGAATCTATGGGGTTGGGTTGTCTACTGTTTCAGCCCCTCTATTGGGCCTGAATCTCAAGCTCCCCTTGTTTAATTTTCTTCCGACAGACAAGAACATGTGGGGAATTTTAGCAAAGAAAAAAACATACAATAAAAATCACATGGACCAATATGGGCTTAAGCTTTTGACAGCCAATAAGAATAGAAAAGGTATTTATCATAAAACAACTGGAAGTATAAAATGACATAGGGTGGCTGATGGGTTTGAATGGTGCCAACAAGAACAGCAGCAGGCATCAGATACGGTTACTAGGTGGAAGGTGGACAGTGGTGATGTTGATAGATAGCTAAGCACTCGAAATGGCATTCCCAAAATGCCATGCATGTGTTTCGGTAGTTGGGTTGGAAGATTGAAAAATGAAAAGTAAGCGGAAGCCAGCCCTCCATTCTATTTTTCTACAAATGCCATTACAACTTTATCTAGTACGAAAAGCAACCAAACCCAAAAATGTCAAGTTGGAGGGATCCCTCTCCCTTTAAGGTCCTCAACGTTCTTCTTTCAACAATCCAAATCGTCTTATTTTTCAAGTCTTCATTTATAAAAGTAAATTAAAAAACATTAACGCATCTAGTTGGGACTAATAAAAGACTACAATAAAATAAACAAACACAATGCTTCAAGAAAAGACAACAATAACAATTAACTAATTGAGTAGTCAAATAATTTCTTATTGAAATGAGTTTTTGCAGAAATAATCTTTAAGAGAATATATTTAAAAATTAGACCGTTTCGATAATTGAAATACAATGTGTGGTGAGCCCTCAACTGAAACTCTCTCATGCTATACGTATCAATAAATTTAAATATATAATATAAATAAAAAAATTAGATATGTAAAATAAGATGAAATGAAATCGGCTTTGAAAGGTAAACACGACTGACTGCGCCCTTTGCGTTTTTAAATTGATTATTATTAGTCGGTTTGATTTTGGTAGTGGTTGGAGCCAAATCACGTTTGGTACTCGAAAATTCCAATGCTTGTTCACGGCACATTTCTCTGACTTTGACTCTGTAAGTTCCTTTTCTGCCCCCCAATTTAATAGGAATTGTGAATCCCTCTTCTTCATTCTCACCCAACACCTCCTTGCCCTTTGGCTTTGGCTTTTCTGCCGTTTAAATTGCTTTTTTTGTATTTTCTGTAATAATTTTCATACGTAAATTGGGTGGGTGCGGTGCGGTGCAGATACCTGATAGCGGCTGCTGTCACCGATGGTGTTCTTCAGGAGTGTCACTGCGCTTTCCAAGCTCCGTTCTCGTCTTGTAAGTTGTTTTTCCTTTTTCTTTTTCCGAAACCCAGAGCGAAAGAGATTGATATCGTTTTGCTTTTATATTATTCTCAGATTCACTGGAAAATTGCTTCTTTCTTTCTTTGACTCTGATTATTTCGATTCATTGTTTTCTGCAGGGCCAACAGTCGAATCTCAGAGATTCCGTTAGATGGCTTCAAACGCAGACCTCCACAGATCTTGTGAGTTCGGCTTCTTCTTCTTCTTCTCTCTCTCCCTCTCCTCATCAAGAAATATTTTATTGATCAATGCAATTTTATTACTACGTGCAAGTGGGGGCCAGTAAATTCTCATATTACGAGGTTCATTTTATGTAAATTTCAGTTTACTCTACAGTAATGCTTCCTCATGATCATCATTGTTGCCATGCAGGACCTTCGTTCTCAGTTGAAGGAATTGATTCCAGAACAACAGGTTTCTTCTTTTAGTCATGATAGCATTCACTTACACCATCAACTTAATTTTGTCATATTTTGTTACTCATGCACGAAGATCGATAGGTTGTATTCTTGATATTGAGTGTTGCTTTGGTGTTCCATTAGTGCAACATAATTCAACCATGTCTATAAGTTGAGCTACTTCCTTTTGCTGCATTCTTTGTTTGTTGAGATGACTGGGTATAATGGATGGGTGAATCAGTTCGTTTTGTGTATAAAGAAGTCTTATATTTAAACATTGAATATGTTAATAAGTTTGTTTAGTGTATTATCGCACCTATATTTTTTGGTTACAGGAACGTCTGAAGAAAATCAAGGCAGAATATGGAAAAGTTCAACTGGGAAATATCACTGTTGATATGGTAAAGTATCTTTCTCTTTTTTCTTTTTGTAAGATGTGCATCTTTGTTATCAATGGAAGAAGTTAATGTTTGTAGTACTTGAAAAATAGTGAACCTTCATCTGATATTTGTTCTTCTTCTTTTTAGAAAGAATAAAACTGCAACTTTGAACTAAATATGTGATCATAGTGCGTAATTCATTTTGGATTCACTTTTTACTGCATAGGTTCTTGGTGGAATGAGAGGAATGACAGGGTTGCTGTGGGAAACTTCCTTACTTGACCCAGATGAGGTATACATTTTAATTATGCAGTCTTGAAACTTTGTGAATTATTATGAACGTTTCTTTCATAATTCTAACAATTAGTCGACAAACATACGGTCATATAATATGATATCTTGGCTGTTTTTTGCAGGGGATTCGCTTCAGGGGTTTGTCAATTCCAGAATGCCAGAAAGTATTACCAGGTGCAAAGCCTGGTGGGGAACCTTTGCCTGAGGGTCTTCTGTGGCTACTTTTAACAGGAAAGGTATGGCTCTTTAGTCATATTTCATTACAAGATCTTTTAACAATGCACTCTTAAAAGGAAACAAAGTGTCGATTTAATGTAGCGAGTAGCCATACAAGATAACTGTTACTTCTTATGGACCTTCTGGAAGATGTAGAATCATCTGCCAGTCATTTTTAATGTCAACTCAAATTTGGACAAATATAAGTTGCCCATAACATGTAGTATTTATTTATTTGCTTTGTATGTAGTGTTTTTGGTTTATCCTAATATTAAACACACCTTTCACCTTGCCTATGTGCAATAGGTACCAAGCAAAGAGCAAGTTGATGCATTATCGGAGGAATTGAGGAGCCGTGCCGTAGTTCCAGGTGCTGTAGCTTATATTTATCAATTTCACTGCCCATATTTGATTAACTGAATAATAGTCAGGATTATATTATATATTTTGTAGGAAAGACTAAATAGTTATGATGGCTTAAACTGGGTACTTAAAAAGTTGTCATATGTGAGAATGCTACCAACTGCAGATGTTTGTTTCACTTAAATATTTGAATCTAGAAAGTTAAGTGCATAAGGTTTGATTGAAGTGCTTCTTTAGCAGTCACTCAAGTTTTACACTCTTATGGTCATTAATGCAAGATTGCTCATCAAATAGCTGTCATTCATGGTTGCAGATTATGTGTATAAGGCCATTGATGCTCTGCCTATTACAGCACATCCAATGACTCAGTTTACCACCGGTGTTATGGCCCTCCAGGTTGGTAAATGGGCTGCTTATCATTGCTTTTCATACTCATATATTAGTTATTCTACATTTTCTTTTTGGCATAATCATTGTCTTGTTGAATTCATTTGGTGTGTTGTGTTTATGCATTTAGATTTGCACTTTTTGGTTGGCTACCCAAATTATCTTTACCAGAACTCTCTGGCTTAACGGTGCACGTGCAATGGAAGACAGTGGGACATAATCTTTTAACCTTATCCATAGCTAAGGATGCATTTACACGAGAATAACTTGAAGATATTTTATATCCATAATACATCATTGGTTATCATGCACGCAGATGTTTCTTATTATTACCCTCTTTAGCCTGGCTTATTTTATATTACAAATTTTGATTATCAGCACCCCTAATATGTTTAATGTGAGTTTATTAAGTTGTAAGTTTTTCCCAATTTCTTTTTAGATAAAGACTTAATTGACCTGAGTTTACTTTGTAAGTTTTTCTAGCACAATAAGTTACTAGAAAGGCAAAGGTTGATATATGCTACTTCTTATGTGGTACAAAACGTGTATCGTCATTCAGTTTCATTCTTGTTGATCCAGAGTTAAGGAGGCTAAATTTTCAATTGAATATTCTTTGTTGGAGCATTAGTCAGATTCAGTGTTTCTTTTGGTTAATAATAAAACTTTTATTAATTATATTTCTCTCTAGGAAAATGAAATCTAGTCCACATAAATAAAATACCTGAATAGTGCATTAAGAGGGTGGCTGGACTCATTTACCAGCTTTTCTGAGTATGTCCAGTAGATGTAATGCAAACAGTTTCTAATCATTTAATTCTGTTTTCAGGTTCAGAGTGAATTCCAGAAGGCATACGATAAGGGGATACATAAGTCAAAGTAAATATGTTTGTACTTTTGTGATCTTGATACTTAGTCTTCCATTAGTTTTTAGGTTTCTTAAAGCTTCTTAACCTGAGTTATTTTTAGGTACTGGGAGCCAACTTTTGAGGATTCACTTAGCTTGATTGCACAACTGCCAGTAGTAGCTTCTTATGTTTACCGGAGGTTGGTAAAGCATATTACACCTTACTTATAGTTAAATGTTTGACCTTGTGTTCTTTCCACGAAAAATCATGTTTAACCGACTGATTTATACATGTTTAAGAACAGCACTTAATCTTAATGTGTAAATTTTTTTCTAAAAATGTTAAAAAGTTGTCTTATGTATGATGTTGTCCACTAACTGATGAGTGATGGCATGCTTTTCTCCATGTGATCTGCAGCCACCCGCCTTTTGACACCAATGGATATCATATCTGTCTTTTCTAGTCCCTATGTAATATTTATATTTGATTTGTCTTAAATAGCATTGGGATTAATTCATTGCTTTTTTTTTCCTGAAGAATTTTTAAGGATGGAAAAGTAATACCTGTTGATGACTCCCTGGATTATGGTGCAAATTTTTCACACTTGTTGGGCTTTGACGATCCCGAGATGCACGAGCTTATGAGGCTTTATGTCACCATTCATAGGTTTGTATAAATTTCTCTTCCTAGGACCATACATGATATGTTACTACAAATTGAAGCTATATGAGTTTTAAGTAATTATTCATTACAGTGATCATGAAGGTGGGAATGTCAGTGCTCACACCGGCCACCTTGTAAGCTACCCTATTTTGTTTTGAGATTTAAATATCATATAATTAATTTAAACTTCGATTATGAGAACTCGGTTAACCATCATTTAATCTTGAAAGATGTGATTATTTGATCCATAACTTGATATGTCTTACCTTTAAATGTTGATGTCTATGTTCACTAATTGATTACCTTCTGAATACAGGTTGCTAGTGCACTTTCAGATCCTTATCTTTCGTTTGCAGCTGCATTAAATGGGTTGGCTGGCCCACTCCATGGTTTGGCTAATCAGGTTTTACATTTGTTGTTGCCCTGTTGTTTCCATCTGTCTATTCTTTTGAAAGCATTAGCGATTATTTGTTTATATAAAAAATTTGATTGATGTAAAGAAATGATGCATGCTTCTAAAGGTTAAAATGACATCATTCAATACTTCTCATAATTTTTTTATTTATAAAAAAAACATCATTCAATGCTGAGGAAGATTTCATTCACAGTATGGTATCCAAAATATTTTTTGTGCTTTTACTCACTGTTGGTATTGATGTAAACTGTAAGCTTTACCAAATCTCGCCTGTTGTTATGTGAGGCGCACTTGTTTGGATTTTGCATTGCGCTCAGCTTTGTGCAGCAGTGATAATTGTAAAAGAACTGCTCACGTATGCAAGGATGAAAACATCGGCGATACAGATATTATCGGGCCTTCAATTTACGGATATATCGATGTTGTTTTAGGTATCGGGGAAAATTGACAAAAAAGACAGATATTGGCTTAAAAACACGGAATTTTGAAGTGAAACTTTCATAGATATTAAGCACATTATTAATGAATGTATAGAACAAATAAAATTCAAAATATACTAAGTATAAGATATGCGTATGATGAATCTATGTGTATATAATGTGTGATGAAAATCCTGAAAATAAATACAATTAGACTTAACACAACAAAGACAACATTATTCAAACATAACCTAACCCAACCGATTAATACATAAACCAACATTATATTACAAGCGTTAAGACTTAATGATAAAGGAAATGAGAGAGAAGATTAGGTGAAAAATCACACACAAGAACCAAGCAACCAGAGAGAGGAGAGGAATAGCCAAAGATAGCCGAAATGACTGAGGAGAGAAGAAAGGAGAAGCTACTAAGTATTTGAGCTTGGTTTTTGACATTGATTCAGTGGCTGGGAACTATGATTACTTTCAAAACTGAAGACAAATTTCTGGGTTATTTGTCTGGTATGGGAAATATCGGGAAATATCAGTAAATATTGGGGGTTATCGGGAATATATCGCCAATAAGGGGGAAGAAATAGGCTTACCCCCCTGTGTCTCTATCGACACCTAAAAAAGGGGATATATCAGCCGATATATCGGGATATCGGCTGATATTTTCATCCTTGCATGTATGTTTACGCATCATGCCTAAATAGATTGGAAGGCAGCAGCTGGAGGGTTACATTTTTGTTTTAGCTTTGGCCAGGGCTGTTGAATCTTTGACTGTAGAGCTGTTTTTGTAGTTCTAATGTGAACTTCTTGTCCACAACTTTTGTACTTTTTAGAGGAGATCAATAATATTTGGATCTCTTAAAAAAATGCGTGTAATATTCACTTGCACTAGTTTTGGATTTGGATGTGACTTGAAGTTGTGCAGGTGCATATTCTTTAAATGTCCAGAAGAATGGCATTTTGTCTGTTTTCTGTTTTACCATACAGCTAATTAGCAAAATGTCAGAATAGATGCATTTTCAGTTTAAGGTGGACTTTGTATGATATATTGATTGAAGAGCAGCCAATGTGAATAATCGCTGGAGTTTTGTTAATGAATCTTGTGCTGATGGACCTTTTTTGGTTAATCAATTATCTTGTAGTTCTCTTGCTACCGTTATCATAAATCTACGATTTACATGACCTACTTTAAAATAAAAAAGATTCATCCCTCTTCTGCTAGTTTTGGTTCAAATTTCTATTTGACATTAGGTAGACGGTAGACTGTTAATTTAGGAACTTTGGAGTTCAAAGTTGTGTTTTCCCTAACTTTGTTGGCTTAATGATGTCTTCATAGCTTTCTCCTTTCTAAGGCCACACTATTTTGATTGCAGGAAGTTTTGCTCTGGATAAAATCTGTGGTAGATGAAGTTGGAGAGAACGTAACTACAGAGCAGTTGAAAGATTATGTCTGGAAAACATTAAACAGTGGGAAGGTAATGCCATCAGTTTTACCTACATAATCAATTTAAATTTTTCCTATGCTTAGTTTATTCTTGATAACTGTTAATTCTCTAGTTATTAAATTTAACATGCACGGTTGACTCTTTGCTCATGAATTGATTGTTCGTTTCTGTCTGGATTTATTATCAAGTGGGCAATAGGCATCTTTGCTCGTTGCCATGTTCTAGTAGAAAATATCTAAATCGCACAAACCTGTCAGAACTTGTCTACTGAATTCCGTCCTGTCATTGAATAGATAAATAAAATAGGTGTTCACAACTAATAGGTAGTCTGAGTATTTTGCCCTATGATCCTTGTAGAAGTCCTAAACTTGCCAAGGAAGTTACCTCATGGGACTAGATTTATTCATTTAGCTTGTGTATTATTCCCTAAGAAAAATGGGCTTTCATTTTATTGAATCTTGGCTTTTCAAATTATTTTCAAAACTACATTCTATGCTCTAGTCTGATGAGCTGCTAATTGTCTTGTCTTTAATTATCCCCTCTTTTGCTCATATTGCAGGTTGTTCCTGGTTTTGGACACGGAGTCTTGCGTAAAACAGATCCACGATACTCGTGTCAAAGGGAGTTTGCATTAAAGCACTTGCCTGATGATCCGCTGTTTCAGCTGGTATGAATAACCCTGATCACATGAGGGTGTGCCTTTTTCATGCACACTTGAATCATAATTGTAAGTGCATCCTTTATGAGCTGACTTAGTCATTACCTTAACAGGTCTCCAAGCTTTATGAAGTTGTGCCTCCCATTCTTCTCGAACTAGGCAAGGTAATTTAATAATTTTATTTTATGAATGTAAAATATTTCACTAGAGTTGTCATTGCTGTGAATTACCTAATCTTTATCTTCCCCCCTCTGAAATATGCTTCTATCTTTTATATTGCATTGAAAAATTAATAGTTTCATTTACAACGCATGTAAAATCTTTTTATGGTGGCTGGAATTAGGATCTTTGACACTAAAGCTGAGTGAGAAATTGATGATTTTCACTCAATTATTATATCTGTCTTTTCTTATCAACCAAAGGAGCAATCTGATGCTGGATTTACCTGAAAATCTGCCATGCTTGTAGGTTAAAAACCCCTGGCCCAATGTAGATGCTCACAGTGGAGTTCTGTTGAACCATTTTGGTTTGACTGAGGCAAGGTATGATATTTCATGATATTTATTATTTTGTTCCTTGATATTCTGAAGCTGTTAACTGTTTTGAGATGATAATGTTCTTCAAATTCAATTGTGGGCAGATTTTTTACTGTTCTTTTTGGTGTATCAAGGAGTATAGGGATTGGTTCTCAGGTTCTTTCCCTCTCTCTCTCTCTACCCGTCCACCAACCTTTCTCTAATTTAATGCTAATTGTTAACTTTCGTTGTTTCTTTGTTTGGTTCAGCTGATATGGGACCGGGCTCTTGGTTTGCCTCTTGAAAGGCCAAAAAGTGTTACGATGGAATCACTGGAAAATTACTGCAAGAAAGCAGCTTCGTCCTGAGAATTGGAGGGCTGTATCATTCTCTTTCAGTAATAATTGCTCTGATGAATTCATGGCTTTGTGAAGGATATACTGAGAGGTGTAAAATTTCAGGTTCTGCTGTTTTTAGTTGTTACAGGAAAACCTCAACACTAGAGCATTTTTAAGTACTTAGAAGAAATTTTGAAGTTACTTAGGCTCAGGGTGTTTTACTGCTCTGATTGATTTTAATAAACACAGCGAAGAAGATGTTTGGAATAAAAAGTATAGTCGAAGATGGCCCTCGCATTTTAGGCTTTTCTTTCTGATTTGGAGATGTTTACTGTAAAGCCGATGTAGTCACATTTGTAATTGCATGGGCAAATCATTTTTAGCACTCATTTTTTTAGCCTTGTGCACTGATGTATGTGAGTGTAGAAAAAGTTACAAAATATCATTTTGCACGATGTATTTTCTTCTGCTATGCTTGGTTTTTCTTTTTCTTGTCATATTTTTTATAGGATACTTCGGAAGTTAACTGGTAAACAGTAAAATGGGCGGTTTTACCTCTCTTCTCTTGTATGCACCACAATGAACCATATAATATAAATGTGGAAACCAGCGACTCTTGACTTAATTTTCTAAATTTGATCTTTAGAAAAAATTTAGAAGAAAAAGGAGCTACATTCCATATGAATTGTGAATTTATGAAAAGGGACATTCTCGGTATCTACGAGATGTTTATTTATTATTTTAGAATTAAAGAAGATAACGGGTAGTTGTGTTTCATAAAAATAAGATCAATTATCTGATATTTCTGTTAATTTTATTTTTTTAAATATCAAAAAGTGTGAATTTACCATATTATCCTCATTTAATTAATAATTTCAATTCTCATTAACCAATTAGCATTTTTTGGTAGTTTTAATGTTTTACTATTCTCTTTCTTGCTTTACATATACTATTCTCTCTGCACGCGCTTTTACGCTTGCGAGAGGTTTTTAAAAAAATTTAAATTTTTTTAGAATTAAAAAAAGATAATGGGTAGTTGTATTCCATTAAAATAGAATCCATTAACTGATTTTTCTTTTAATTTTAATTTTTTAAAATATGAAAATATGTGAATTTATCATATTATCCTCATTTAATTAATAATTTCAATTCTTAATGTTTGAATTAACTAAGAGCATTTGAAGTATTTTGAATGTTTTACCATTCTTTACCTTTTGCTTTATATGTATAGATATAGATATAGATAATTAAAATAATTTCTGCTATATGAAACCGCACGTGTGTATGAGAAAATTGGAATATATAAGAATCCAAAACAAATGTTTCTATTTTCATATGAAAAAAGTCTTAAAATGTTAGAGCCGCTTACATTACATTTGTTTGCGTCTCGCTCACAAATTGATTGAAATTGGATGAAAATGGCATCCGTCTTGGCTGCAGGACAAGCACGACTTTCATCCCAGCTGCTTCGCCCAATACCTCAGAATCAGATTCCCATCACTCACTCCCTCAAACGCAGCGCCGTTAAAGCAGCGCCTGTCGATTTCAGGTACTTTCGAGTTTCTTCTTACCTCCTCAGTCTTCATACCCATTTCATTTCTATTGTAAAGATTTGATGCTCGTTTCTTATTCTGAATGGGTTTCTGAGCTCATTGTGGTGTATTTGTTTATGGATGCTTCCTTAAGCCTATTACCGTTGGAGTAATTGCATTATTTGGTGCTTATTCCTTTGCGAAACTTTGAGCAATTTAATTAGTTGAGTGTTTCCTCTCTGAAAATGGTCGTCTAGCATTAGGCTGCTGTGAGTGAACCTTGTGGAAGAGAAATTTTCTGTTATGGAGTTGGTGAGATATGGGCTGCCGCTTTTGTTCCTTAAGAAGAAAATGCAGTTCCTTTACCTCTAAAACTCCAACTTTAGACGCAGAATTAATATGACTCAGAAAAGTTCCTCATATAAATCAAAATTTTGGCTATTTATCAAGTGGTGAGGTAGGTTGAGCTAGGTTGGGGTAATGGGTTAGGATTAAGATAGATCTTTTCCCTCCTCTCTAACCAAAAAAATCCAAATTATTATCCAAATTTTGTTGTCACAAATATAGATAAAATAATAAAAAGCAAAAGGTACATGGTGGAAAATATGATGAAACTCATAGCCTTGGAGCCAATTTTTTACCATCTTCGTCTCACTTCTGAACTTAATGTATTTTTCTGTGGCTGAAATTTCCATCTCTTGTTCTTCGTTGTGTTGATATACTAATTGTAAACGTTCATGTTTTAGTTAACTAAGCTAGCAAGCACCTTACCCACATTAAGCTTTGAATTCTCATAAATCCCTAAGCCCATGTCTAGACTCTACTAGACTGTATTTCTACAAATATGGATGAGTCATTTTCTTAGTTATGTATTTGGAGGGTCACATCCAATGCGGATGGACTGTTTTGATCTTATTAATTAACAATTGCTAAATTAATATATCAATATGGATAATGCCCTTCAGGGTTGAAGGAAATGTTTCCCAACTTTTCGGGTCGTTATTGCAAGTTCTAAGCCTATACTCCGTCGACAACTAGCATTATTGTCATGGTTCCTATCTGAACAATAGATATGAGAATCTTTGTGGGTATTTCATTCTGTCTACTTCCGTTTCTTGTTTTCTTGATTAGTTGGCTGAACAAGTAGAAAATAAGATGGGTTGTTCATCGTATATGGTTATGCTTGCTTTACTGCAAGTTAAGTTAATGTCAAGATGATGTGAAATATCCTAAATTTAGTTTCTTTCTTTTAATCAGCTTGGAGAGGAATGTTTTGAGATTGAAAATAAGGGAAAGCTGGCACGCTGTGTCTGCATCAAACTCTAACCCTTCAAATGGAGATTCCGTTGAGGATAAATCAGGTGGGGTTAAAACCAATGATGCTGCACAAGGCCCTCCTTTGCTTACCATTGTGGCTGGATTTGTCGTCTTTTTTCTCTTATTTGGATTTTGGGGGTCAATTCTAATGTGGTTGATTGGTCTAGTTGTTAGATTTCCTCCACCTAAATAAGAAAATATTTTCATCAATTTTGCTGTTTATGTTAAAAAAGCATGTACTCATCTCTATATTTATGAACAATGAACATGAGTATTGGATCACAAATTTTTGTTTCCTTGCCTTTTTTTTCCCTCCTTTTGTAGAGACGAGTGAATGGAGATGTAATGTAAAACCTGATATATTCATTATAAATTATTTTTCATTACAGGTCGATATTCTAGTTGATTAATTTTCACTTTGAAATTCGAGGCAAGAAGAATGATATCTCCTTGTTGGGATTTAATAAAACTGGCACAATATCATCTTTATGAGTCTGAACCCATATTTAGCATGATTGGTTTGATTTGAGTAATGCGCATCAAACACCGATAGCCATTTGAGCCTAATGACACTTCATCTCAGTTTAAGTAAGCTGATGGGCACCCATTAATTGTGCCAAAGGTGTAAAGATCACTAATTTGATAATTTTCTAGGTTGCATCTACCAAACGCGCAAACTCTAATGACAATCTTCTGAGGGAGGATAGCTCGAGCAATGGACCCCTTATTTTGACCCCCCACTGGGCTTGGCCCGAAAATGAGCAGCTTAATTTGCTGTCGTTTTTTACATGGAAAATAAGTAATGCTAGAACCACCAAAACAAATCCAGGATTTTATGGGTTTATGTTGAATATAATTAGTACCAGTGTAGAACCTGGAACTCATCATCATTAGTAACAGTGTTCTACTTAGGCGGTTATAAGGATGGTTCAATATACAACAAAAACCCGGAACTTTGGAGAGGCTGAAAAATCTGAAACTTAACAGAGTTAGATATGTTTACAGTTTCTAAAAATGGACAACCAACACATATACATCAATGAGTACATAAGAAACAAAACATTTACACCAATTTGGTCTACTGGTATTTCTCTTCCCAATGTTGGAAGGTTCAAATCTTCCCTCCACCATTGATAAATTATAAATAATTAAAAATAATTAAAAAAAAATACAAATAAAAACAAAACAAAAAATTTAGCCATGTAAGAGCCTAAAAGAAGAAGAGTAAATTTCTTATTAGGAAGATCAAACAAACATGAAAAATGAAACTATATTAGAATAAGATTCAACAACTAATTGAAACTTTTCCCTTTTGCTTCTGGGCTATCATCTGCTATTGATGAGGTAAAATTACGTCGTTCATCAGCATTGGCAGTAATAACTGGGGAAAAAAAAAAAAAAAAAAAAAAAAAAAAAAAAAAAAAAAAAAAAAAAAAAAAAAAAAAAAAAAAAAAAAAAAAAAAAAAAAAAAAAAAAAAAAAAAAAAAAAAAAAAAAAAAAAAAAAAAAAAAAAAAAAAAAAAAAAAAAAAAAAAAAAAAAAAAAAAAAAAAAAAAAAAAAAAAAAAAAAAAAAAAAAAAAAAAAAAAAAAAAAAAAAAAAAAAAAAAAAAAAAAAAAAAAAAAAAAAAAAAAAAAAAAAAAAAAAAAAAAAAAAAAAAAAAAAAAAAAAAAAAAAAAAAAAAAAAAAAAAAAAAAAAAAAAAAAAAAAAAAAAAAAAAAAAAAAAAAAAAAAAAAAAAAAAAAAAAAAAAAAAAAAAAAAAAAAAAAAAAAAAAATACATCCAAGCAATTCTTGTTTTAGTGTGTAGATCCATCACATACTTCCTTTGAGAAAAAATGTACCAGTTTTTTACCTTGCTAGTTCAATTCGTGGAAGTCTTTAAGAGTACCTAAATCCTTCATCTCAAATTACTGAAAAAATCCTTTTGTAGCTTATGTTTTCTCTCTTGTGTCGTTCCCAGTTACAACCATGTCTCCACATAACATTAATGCAGTGATTTTCTTTCATCACACTTCAGAACAGGGTGTCATATGACTTACTTTGAGTGTATCCGAAATTCTTCATGGACGTTGTTGCTAGAGACAGTGGGACTCTGATAGTGTCGATCTTGGCTATTGGGGCAAATATCTCTTGGTAGCCACCTAATATCTCTATCTGTACCCCTTCGCCATCAATCTAACTTTATATCTTTCAATGGATAGATGCTTTGAGTTTCATAGTATAGATCAACCTGCATCCCATAGTCTTCTTCCATAAGGTAAAGGCACGAGCTCTCATGTGGCAATCTTCTGGAGAGCTCGCATGTAACACCCCGTCCCCAAAAATCACTTTTCATTGATTATTTAATTGTGGATTTACAATTTTGGCCCTTGGGGTAGGGTTACTTTAGTCACTTTTCAATCTTGAAGGATTTTGAGGATTTGAGTGACACCAGTTGTAGAGCTCGCTCTCACGAGTTCGTAGACACATAGTGGGCTTAAATCGAGTTATAAGAAGAAGTTGTGGTCAACGGAAGTGTACTAGAACAAATGTAATTTTTCAAAGTTGGGTTTAAAATACCCAATCATCCTCTCTCTCTCTCTCTCTCTCTCTCGCTTCCTCTCTCTCTCCTCTCTCTCTCCTCTCTCTCTATGCACGCAACTTTCTCTCTCTCTATCTCTCTAACGCACGCAACTTTCTCTCTTTACACGAGCGGCAGCAAATTTTCGAACCTCGATTTTGTCGTCATCCAGTGTCCAATTCGAACAAAATTGGTTGCACAAGTTTTGTATCGATGTCCTCTATCTGACCCACATTTTACTAGCTCAAAACTTAAGGAAATTAAACTGGAACAACTCTAAGTTCGGTTGATTTTTATAGTTTCCAACGCCGTTTTCGGCAATCCCAGTGGCGGTTTTCGTCGATCCAGGTATGAATCTTCATCCCATCCACGTGCTCTAGTTGTCTATGCTAGTATCTTGGATCATTTTGAGGTTTTACATGTCGTTCAAAATACCCATTTTAGCCGACGGTTTCAGCTTCAATTCGGCTAGTTCCGACTAGTTTTTGGCCGTGGTCCAAGAAACAAACCTTGATCCCCTAGTAAGTTTGAATCTATTGCATAGGTATTCTCCGATGGTTTGGAGATTTTCCGTCGCTGGAAAATCTTTTAAGATACCCAAGCGCTGCCGGTGGTAGGTGGCGGCCCATAGAGTTCTGAATTGTTACTCTTGTTGTCCTGAGCATGACGGTATGCTCGAATTTGGATTCGATTATCGTTTCACAATCGAACGGATATTTCACCTACTATGCGATATCGGGTTCAATAGGTTTGGACCGTTCAATCGGTCCCATTTTCTAATGTGTTGTTCCTCGTACTTATAGGATTTGTGTTGGAACTGGTGGATCGAGAATGGGAGTCCCGGATACTCGGAATCAATGATTCTAGAGTTAAGTAAACTGGTTACCGTCCGTTCGTGCGATTGAGAGCGATCCATTGCTCTATCAAGACCTACTCTGGAAACTTGTTAAGTAGACCTTGTTGGACTTATAGTAAAGTTTGGATCGAAGATCGGAGGTTGTGGGCCCCGCAGGCCCAATTGTTCAAATTCAGCGATCAGGGTCAAACCGACCGTTAGATCGTGACGGGACTTCTAGAATGGGCTGAAATTTTTGGTTATGGACCAGTAGGAATTGTCATATAACAATTGGGGTCGTGGTCCCTTCGAGCCCAGTTGACTTAGATTGTGGGCTTTGTTGGCTCGATTGAGGCCTTTTAGTAGTTGTAATTGTAATTGGAGGTTTGTTTTAAAATGATATTGTGTTTTGAGTGTTTTATTAAATTTTTATGATTATTATGTAATCGCTTTTACTTTCCGTGATTAAGGAATGGCTTGGATAATCGGATTTTGGCATGAATAAGGAATTAATTAAATGCTGATTGTATGTCTATATTTAAATATATGCTCGGTGGCTGGAAATCGATGAATGACGGATACTAGTTTTCTCAATAGTTTGTGGTACATATTTGAATGTAGTTTGAGAACAGTTTTGAAAGATTATGCTGGTCAAGTTCAAGTTAAGGAATGTTGGGATTGATCTCATTTTAAAAAGGATTTTTGGTTATCTATTTAAGAATTGATTTTTGGAAAGTTGAGAAAGAATTTGGAAATTGGATTTGTGAAAGTGGATTAGTGGGAAAAAGAGGAATTTTATGATAAGTTTCGGAAATGGTTTTCAAAACCCACCACCGGAGTACCGCCCCCCCAGTTGCCTTCGGAACAGTCTAGTCATTTATGATAATACCCACGAGTCTCGGGGACCCCTGAACCATGTGGTGCGAGGATTTGCGTTCTCAGGTTGATTATATCTTCCTGAGTCTTGGGAGGGGAATTGACGGATATGCATTTCAGGCTGATCACCCGATTTTGCGAGGATATGCGTTCTCGGGCTGACTACGTGTCCCCTTGAGTTCTGCGATGATATGCGTTCTCGGCTGACCACGTGTTCCCCTAGTTCTACGAGGACATGCGTTCTCGGCTGCTTGCGTGTCCCCAGACTTCTGCGAGGACATGAGTTCTCGGGCTGACCATGGGTCCCCCGAGTTCTGAAAGAATGTAACATATATGGTACTTGGAATTGATGCAATATTATTGAAATTGACGGATTGTGATTGGGGGTATGCCTAGGTGGAGAGTATTTGAGTTTGGAGATGTTTTTAAACTAAAATTGATGATTTTATCTTGGTACTTATTGGTGAAAGTTTTAATACATGTATACAGATTTATGAGACAAGGATTGAAAGTTTTCTAAATTTTAAGGATTGTATACAATTCACAACTATTTTCTTGAGTGATGAGTTTGTTTTTACATGTGAAATATGGAAGCATGTTTTATTCAAACCATTGATATTGATATTAAGGTTTCATGTGGCCAATGTTATTTTAATAATTTTCTCCTTTTCCTACTTATCCGTAATGAGCTATTATATATATGTATTTATATATGTACATTTGATAGGTGGAAGATTTTTCTAAAATCAATATCTTTTGCTTAAGTTTCAGCGGATTGATTAGAGTTTAAAGCTTTTGGTTTTAGGAAAGTGCGATGGAATTTTTAATTCATATGCTTACAAATGGTTTGAACTTTATTTTCTTGTATAAAGAACTACGTGTGGCTTGATCCCTCAATAAGGGTACCTGGGCAACCTAGGCT